GGAGGAACATATATGGTTTTTGTAATGTTGATAGTGAAACTGGATGTCATGTATATTGGGAATGTGTTGTAACCCAAACCTTCTGGAAAGAACTTGAAAACTGGATAATCCAAAACAAACAGAAATTTGAAATAAGAAAGACATTGGTTTGGTTTGTTTTTGGGTAATAAGCCATTGCTAAATCATATAATCTTTTCTGCTAAAAGACATATATATATACTTGCACTTTAAAGAAAATAATTACAAAAGTTAATAATGTCTTCAAATTTTTTAAAGACACTTACGCGGTTGAAAAATCAATATCCAGGAGGAACAATAATTTTGATAATTTTCAGAGAAATGGTTTCCTTTATCCTCAGTTTTCAATCTCTTAATCTGTAATCAAACTGGAATAACTTTATTGCATTATAATTTTTTCCATGCTACCAGTTCATGAACTTTGATCATGCATATGTACACTTTTTGCTTTACTTTATATGCTTGTATTCAATTATGGGAACAAATGAAAAAACAAAATCACTAAGAGTTTAAGGTAGCTGGTCACGTGATCATTATCGTATTCTAGTTTCAGACCATCACACCGATTTCAAATGAGATATTCTTCACGATCATTAAGGTTAACAGCTGTGGGCGGACATACATACATACCATTGCAGCCGCTTCACAATATATTATATGCACAAATATTCTACATACACAATGAATTTTAGTAGAGTGGGTCGTTTATGTTTCCGTAGTTCCACCAGAAGACATTTTGGATAATAAATATCACACTTTTGATATAATCATAAACAATTAGGTGTTTCGCCATATATTCTTACAAACTTAGCTGCAAATACTTGCAATACTGCTGACTCACCTTTAAGCAATATTTACGTTTTCACTCACTCAAGTCTTTTGTCACTCCAGATGTTTTGTATGCATGCGTTGGTTATGTACAGCAAAGTATACCATATATACAGCTTAGTATTTCTAAGTAACCCACCTTCGTCACACGTTGGTGTGAAAGGTGTCAGTTGAGCTTTTATACAGGACCCTTTGTGTGCCCTGTGGATACTATTTACACCCATATGGTCCTGCTTGCAAGTGCAATATAGCCATTATGTCACTGCATTCACCATACATTACCGATTTCTTTATTGCATAAATACCTACACTGAGCACTTATCATCTTAACTTGACAACGACTGGTAAACATCTTTTGTCTTCAATGAATAACCTGTAAACACCATTCGACAGCTTAACTACTGCACCTGTGACAAACAAATGTACTATGTGAACACCGAGGTTCACATTCGTCATAATGGAGGCACCTTTAGGACAATTGTGCATGTAGCTATGAGAAGAAGTACCGCAACCTTGAATATGACTTAGCTCTTTGTCCAGAAAATGTATACCAGTTCAGGTATAAAAAGAGGGGTATGGTCTTACAACAGCACGTAGCTCTCTTGATTCCAGCAGCGAGATTCTGACTTGGTTTCTGTTAAGCCCGGCAAAGCCATAACATACCATTACATTGATTAAATTGCTACAGTTCACAGAGGTGTCATAGCTCAGCACAGTTATCATTGAGGTACACAGACCAAAATAATGTTCAACACGACCCCTATGAAACTACGTCAGTGTTAAGTATCATGTGCACACATCGCACGTTGACAATGTTTTTCTCAAACTAATACATCGAAGTGTTCAAACTAATACATCGAAGTGTTCAAACTAATACATCGAAGTGTTCAAACTAATACATCGAAGTGTTCAAACTAATACATCGAAGTGTAAAGAAAGGAAAGAGAAAAAGAAAGAAAGAAAATTTATAAAAAAAATTCGTGTTAGCCCGGTAGGTTGCAAATCTTTATATTTAGTTAATTTTGGGAGCTTGCCCAACTTTTCAAAATCATGTGTGAGCTTTTTTTCATAATGGTAGCTACGCCCCTGTTTACCTTCGTCCTTTATTTTGCGCAAGGTACTGACAGATATACCAGAAGCATCGCTGGCTTTTTTGAGTGCACTGTGTGGGCTGTAGGAAATAGTACACATGTACTGATTGACATTGTAGGCAACCTCGCGTGTTTGTGAATGAATGACTTGACCCCATTTACCCAATTTAGAGTGCGACATCATGCGTTTCAAATACCTGCAGAGTTTAATATTCAGTCCACTTTACAAGATACTAGTATACACATGCTCGAGCAGAAACACAACGTTTCCGAATCATTGCGTAGAAAGTGATTACTACAAGGATCACAAAAAGCACGTGCGCGAAGTTTTTCACACCTGTTCCCCATTCGAGTAGGTAGTGGATCAGTTCGCGGCACGCTCCCAGCTTCTCCTTTCACAAACGCGTCTTTCGCGCACCTCATTCTAATGTTGGTTGGACAGTAGGAATATTTGTTTGTATCTGTTACATGAACAAAGGAGTTTGTGTAGAAGTGATAGAGTGTGAACATTTCAAACTCTGTGAACTGTACAATACTTGTCTTCAAGCAATTGAAATATGTTTTAGTTGTTTGACAAATAACACAATTTATTCACAACTATGAAATATGTCTTAGCTTTGTAAAGTTTTTTCAGTGATTCTGAATTCTGATATAAATTACATTGAATTGTTTGTGAAAGAATTGGTGTAGAAACACAACTTCCCAAAGGAAACTTCAGTTTCAAATTTATTTTAAGGCGTGCTGAACATGTTTGACTGTACCTTCTTCAACATGAAATGCTGAAATTTTATGAGATCAACAGCTCTTTAAGTGTGTGTGTGAATGTAACACTATTTTTAGTCACGATATGGCTGAAATACTGCCACTGTGACTATAAACTTTAACTCACTCACTCACTCATGATATATCGTCTCGCCTCATTAAACTGGTATCAGGATATATCGACCTTCCACTTAGACTACGAAGCACAGCTCTAATACCCAGTATGTGCGTATTTACACATTTACAAGAGTACTTCACATCATTAATACATTGTAATCATCTTTTTCGAAAGTATAGATAATGAAATTTGTGCAGCTATGTGAACACACCTGTCTGTGTTTTATTGAAATAAGCAGTCTCTCCTTGTATGTCATATATAAGAAGTGTACCTAAGGTCAATTATTTAAACTATAATGTAATTTCCATTACAAAAGGTTAAACGGTATTACCTACTGATCAGAAACGCTTATCAGTACCCCACCGCCACCAACCCACCCTAGGCCTACCCCATCCCACACCCTCTCCCTCTCACACACATGCACACACACACTCCTAACATGCATATCGCTCTGGCCCATAGACCCGATATTGTAACCTTTTAAAACAGACATCATGTGTATGTCAAGAAAGGCAGGCACGTTAATAGTGGTGCTCAGTCATGGGTATCACTTCGCCATGTGTTTCTAATGATCTCCGTGCATTATGGCGTGGTCCCGATGTGAAAGTTACATTACAGAACCATTGAAATACATGTAGTGTTAATCTTGTAACACTATATTTACCCATTACCAACCATTTACGCGTGTACTAAATATATGACAAACCTAACCCTGGTCATACGAGATTTCAAAGGTATTGAAATGCATGTCCTACAATCACAGCATTTACATACGTTACACATGCTAGAAAACACATGAAAACAATGGCCAGATTTACACACCTGTGAAATACAAGTAAATACAGAGTTGAATGTTGGTTTATTTTAACACCCCTTTAAACGTGTGTAAATCTGACAGCCAGATGATACGTAGATTTCAAACGTTGTTCATATGGCCGCCGGATGAAACGTATATTCCCTAATGTTAGTAAATTTGGGTAATACAGTCATTTTGTGTGGTGAAAACTGTTAACGATGAACACTAAAACTACTAGTGTATCACTGATAGAGATATAAAACTAGCGTGTAACTATAAACTTGTACTATAATGCAAGACAATACAATATAAAACGAGCTATAAATCACCAGCAACTGAAGGTAGACCACCATACTAGGGACCATGGGAGTTAGTGAGTGATTGAGTATGGTTTTACGCCGCCCTCAGCAACATTCCTGCAATATCACGGCGGGGGACACCAGAAACAGACTGCACATATGACACATGTGGGGAATCGAACCCTGGTCTTCAGCGTGACGAGCGGTTGTTTAAACCATTAGGTTGCCCCACTGCCCCGTTCTGTATATGCTACTATAGGAATCGTTGAATACTGAGGACAGATTACTGTTACAACAGAATATGTACTTTCAAGGAATGAAATTTGCAATATTTGCAATTCATTTAAACACTTCGAGGGCAGAACTAGTGCAGCTGATTTTAATCTAAACTTTATACTTTCATTTTGCCGATTATAATGCGATGAGTATTTTCAGTAAAATTTTAAAATAGAAAGCACCTGCCATCTCAATGCAACACTCTTTGTACATCATGGATCAATTATGGCGAGCGATCTCATCTATTGAGGAATAAGATATATTGTACACAATGGAATATTTCCTCTCTGTCAGCGTCCTTCCAAAGCCATTGATCCGTACGACACTGCTGATGATATCCTACTACCTGTAAAGACTGTCGATTTTCGCTTTAATAGGACTTTCCCGGAAAACTATTTATAGCTTATGACTCAACGTAATAATCGTGACTACCAAGCATGACAACTGGCGGTTTGATGTGTGTTGCATTGAGAGAGATAGGACAATACACAGTGAGATTCAAATACACACACGTGTGTTTGTTAATGTAACCTCTCCAATGTTTCCAATTGAGTGCTTTCTCTGACCATTTACTCATAATTCGATCCACATATATTTCTTAACTCCCATTTTGGTTAAAAATCCTAGCGTTGATTTGATAGCAAATTAGCAAATCTACAGTAGACATGACACAACTTCGACGAGAGCTTAATATCAATGACGAATACAGTTGGTTTTATGAACTCTGGAATGACCATGGCAACCCAAACGGAAATAAACTTCAAACATACCGCCTAACCAAGAAAGATTTGAAGCATGACGCTTATGTTTTGAGTAGACCCATTCCCCGATCTTCAAGAAAGATGTTCGCACTTCTTCGTTGTGACAGCCTGCAATTAAACATTGAAAAACTCAGGTACAGTCGACCCGCAATACCTCTCAACGCTAGGGTGTGTCCCTTCTGCTCGGATAAAATAGAAAATGAAATCCATTTTCTTGTAGACTGTGATATGTGCAACGACCTGCGATACGACCTGTTCCAAACAATGCAACAATCTGATGTATATCCATCCTTCAATAACTCCTCCTGAGTTACTAAATTTACACATCTATTAAACACACCAGACATAGTTAATCACCTCAAGTGATACAGTTACAAATATGTATAAGCGGCTTCAATCATTATCTTAAATATTATACACTACTTGTATCTTAAGTTCTACCCTTTCATTCATTAACACTAGATGAATGCATCACGTGGTGTATGAATGTTATGCATTGTTACAGCTGTACGAATGTACGTAACTGTATTGTATTTCATTGTATTGTGTTCAATGGTATTGTGTGCAGGGTATCTGTATTTATGTGGGTATACAATGTATGATTATAATACATGTATATTTTGTGTATGTGTATGTATGTATGTATGTGTGTATGTGTATGCATGCATGCGTGTATTATGTGTGTATGTCTGTCTGTGTGTGTGTGTGTATGTATGTGTGTATGCGTGCATTATGTATGTATGTATGTATGCGTGTATTATGTGCGGTTGTATGGATGCTTTCTGTATGTGTTTGTATGTATGTTTGTTGCATATATGTTATGTATGTATGCATACCTGTGCGTGTTAACTTCAAATGCATACGGTTATATGTGTGTACATACTGTAGGTTTACAATGTTTTCGTTGGTTTAAATAGTCTCTCATAACCAAACGGGTGGTTTTGTACTTTCAAACTCCTCAAAATCTTGCATTAAATGACAATGTACAGAAGGTGTGACTCAAATAAACATTATCTCTCCCTCTTTGAGATCTTGAATCAATCTTAAACTTTATATTTAGGATAAAACCATTGAAGATGTTAATTCCACCATTATTGTTTAGCAGTAGTTGTTTTTATTTACCAAACTAACAAACCAGATATACAGTCGTCATGATCACTTACTAACTATTCAGTAAATTTATGTTAGTGATTAATGTAACTGGTTAATCTTTAAAATAATGTTTTGAATCGAAGTTACCTATAAAGTGTATGAAAGACAAATTTCAAAGTCATTACAGGAGACAATATATTTTCATCATTATAATTGTACTTGTAGTGTATCATAGAGATTTAAGTCGTTTATGAAATACAACAATGTGTGAGTCAAATATTTCTATAGGGCCACAAGTGGGTCATGAAAGGACCCGACCATGTCTGTTGCATGGGTGAATAGATGCTTGCAGCACTCGCGCCACTATATATGAACTATGTTAATCTGTCAGATCCTTCAACAGTATAGCAGTTGAAACGACAGCTGTACTAATAGAAAAAACGATGTATTGGCTGGGACATGAGCGAGCAAGACAAAATATACAACTACAATTGAGACACAGAGGTTGGCCATAAATCAAGAAATTACCAACAATTTGCAGCTCTTTCATTATTATAACAAATCATCTGATTGTTTTAATCGCAGTTAATATTGCATTTTAATGCTTGTCAATCTAGTGCATTTCATCTGTTAACAGGGAAGAACTGCATGTCAACTTCTTTCATTATGAGGAATATAATGTTTCGGATTATAAATATTATTACTGCTTCGTCAGGTCAATGGAGTGAGTGAGTGAGTGAGGCAATGTTGCAGCCATATCGTGACGAGAACAGTTGATATCAATATTCAAATCAATAAATGTGTGCAACGTAAAAAACTGTCATCACAGGACAGTAAGACTACTAAAATACCACAGCTCCTAATTTAAAACTAGTATGCTATCATAAAAATATATCGGGAGAGACAACAATACAATACAATATAGATATAGATATAGATATAGATATAGATCACCAGCAACTGAAGGTTGATCACCATACTAAGGACCACGGGGACTTACAGGACCTTGCTACCTACATGGCCCCTAGTTAGATTTACATCATCCCTTTAGCAGCCGGCAATTGTAGTCAAAATGTAGCCATAATTAAACTCACAAACAATCTAGGCTTAAAATCCTGGTGAGTTGGAAATTTACTTTACAGAGTTTGGGGACTTACGTACCCTCTCTCAGGAAGACAATAAGTTTACAGTACTTTAACCCCCTTGAAGGTACAGCCACTAACAGTTTGAGTTGTTAATTTAAACTTCCAATCTTGAAATATTTATCTATTTACTGAATCTAATTCCTTTAAAATGCAATAATTTAATGAAAACTTATATTATTAAAAAGTGAGTGAGTGAGTTTAGTTTGATACCGCACTCAGCAATATTCCAGCTTTATGGCGGCGGTCTGTAAATAATCGAGTCTGGACCAGAAAATTCAGTGATTAACAGCATGAGCATCGATCTGAGCAATTGGGAACCGATGACATGTGTCAACCAAGTCAGCGAGCCTGACCACCCCGATCCCGTTAGTCGCCTCTTACGACAAGCATAGTCGCCTTTTGTGGCAAGCATGGGTTGCTGAAGACCTATTCTACCCCGGATCTTCACCGGTCATATTATTAAAAGATCCGTCATAGTTTGTGATGTGAAAATGTTATCCCTTGTGATGGAATATTCAACACAGTCAAACAAGACATGCTTGACCGCGATTCTTTCATCACAAAGGATGCAAAACGGAGGATCTTCGCCTTTTAACAGATCACGAGTATACCTTGTATGGCCAATACGACATCGTCGCATGATGACCTGGACTGACAACCCAAGTAGGTGTAACCAATATTGGGTTATATTTCATATTAATTTATTTACCACCTACATGGGTGTCCCACTGCTTCTGCATCAGATCACAGTTGTTAGCTCTAATGCTAGTATTGAAACAGAGTATGGAATAAGAAGTGGTGTCACAGATTTACTGAGTGCTGCCTTGGCAGCAAGTTCAGCCATTGCATTCCCAGAAATGCCGAAGTGGCTGGGTTACAAAAAATGACGATGTCGCATTGGCCAGTAGCAAGCTCATTATACAATTCAATAATTTCCAATAAAAGTGGATGTTTACAAGAAAGATTTTTAATAGCCTGAAGAAACGAAAGAGAATAGAAAAAGATGATGCATTGTTTATATTTACGGTGTTTATTAATATATTTAAGAGTTGTTAATATGGCGTTAGCTTCTGCTGTGAAAATAGAGGTTATTGGGCAATCGAGAGGATAATGTTTTGGACAATGACAGTGGCACAAAGCAACTGCGCTTAGGTCAATGGAAGATAGGGTGATTTTTGTAGGGAACCCAGGAGTAAACGAGAACTCCTAATGTACAGTCAAATTCCGATGAGTCGAATCTCTGGGGACCAGGTAATAAATTCGACTTATCGATGTATGCGAGACATAGGTCTGTCTATGAGGGTAGAAAAAAAGATGATCCAGTCCTAATTCCTCCGCCTAAGCATTTGTTTATCTAATGATTTCCCTATCACTAATAGGGGCACCTTATCAGTTCCAGTCTGATTAGCACAGACAGTGATTGCCGTAATTGGACAAAAGGAAGGCTAAGTAATTCACACTGATTATCATGTTACCGATAATGAAGACGTTGACATCCAAAAATTTCCCTGTTAGACTTGTCAGTTTTGGAGTGTTCTGTGGTATCTACAAGTGTATGCTCATGATTGCTTTGAAGTTAGTAACAAAGCGAACCATTTTTGTACTCAAAATGGTTTATGCAATCATAAAAATCAAATAAATGTAACCATTATATGTTGCGTAAATGAGTGAGTGGATAATGCCATATTACCCCACATGTGGGGAATCGAACCCTGCATGACGAGTGGACGCTTTAACCATTAGGCTACCCCACGGCACAGTATTAGGCATTCCAAATACTAAATGCATAGATTACGATGCAGATTATTGTTCAACAGAATATTTACTTCAAGAACGGAAGTAGTGCAGCTAAATTCAGCAAAAACTCCATTTTCCCGTCATAATGCGATGAATATCTTCTGTAAAATTTATAACTTGAAAGGGTCTGCCATCTCGATGCTGCACCATTGTTATTTGAATCATAGACAATAGCGGCTTGCTACCTGAGGAATGATAAATATTGTTAATATAAATAATTTAACATTTGTGCTCTCTTACCTTCCTTCCAACAGCAGTAATGGGCAGAACACTGTAGATGATACACAAGTGCGTAAAAAGACTGACGACTTTCGCTTTAAGAGGAGTTTCCCGGAAAACTATTCATAGCTTGTGATACATTTCCTCGTTGGGCTCAAGTCGTTGGTATTGAAAGCCATACTTGACGACAATACAATATCAACTGAAACGGTGAACACCTGCGAGCTATTGCGACACACATGCAAATATGAGATCTATTACATTTATCTCTTTCGGTTATTACAACTGTATGACAGTTGAAACAGCATAACAAGCACCACACAAAATGGCTGTTTTACCCAAATTTACTCACGTCAGAAAGGATACGTTTCATCCGGCGTCCATATGAACAACGTATGAAATCTACGTATCATCTGGCTGTCAGATTTACACACGTTTAAAGGGGTATTGAAATATTTGAACACTCGAATCTGTATTTATATGGGTTTTACAGGTGTGCAATTCTGGCCATTGTTCTCATGTGTTTTCTAGCATGTGTCATAAACATAAATTTTGTGAATGAAGGCCATGGATCTCAGTACCCTTGAAATCTCGCATGACCAGGGTTAGGTTTGTCATATATTTAATACACGCGTAAATAATTGGTAATGGGTAAATAAAGTGTTATAAGATTGACACTACTTTAACATATATTTCAATGGTTCTGTAATATAACTGTCACATTGGGTTCGTTGATAGCGACCACGCGTACGCCATAATGTACTGAGGTTATGAGAAACACATGGCGAAGTGATACCCATGACTGAGCACCACTATTACGTGCATGCCTTTCTTGACAAACACCTGATGTCTGTTTAAAAGGTTCAAATATCGGGTCTGTTGGTCAGTGCGATATTTTAGGGAGCGTGTTTGTCTGTACGTGTGCGTGCATGTGTGTGTGTGTGAGAGAGAGAGAGGTGTGGGTCGATTAGTAGCGCTAAGGACACACTGTGCGCAAGATTAACAGTCATATGACATTCACTGGTACACATTTTCTGCTGGACTAACAGAAGCAACTTTGAACAAACTCACTGGACGGTGAGACCATGCGTGTCACGTTAGCTTCGTTGTGGGGCAAGACTGAAGGCCTGAGAACCCTCAGGAGTTACACTTGCTCATCAAGTTTGTTTGCTTCGAAACATGAAGAATATCTCTCTAAATTAATCATTACCATTTCATTGAATGCATTTTGAGAATTGTTTGTTCTCGATAAGACGTTGTGGGCAATGTCTAGGCATGGTTTTCAATCAACTGATGACAAATAGTAGACAAGTGAAGAAACCACAGGTTCGACATATCAATACAAATATTGAGAAATGTGAGAGTGGGTTACGAGTCACATCGGCAGTATTTCAGCCATATCGTGACTAAAACAAGTTACACATTTACAACACGCAAAGTTTAATTCTAAAATCCTGTCAAGGAGAGACAGTAAAACTACTAAGTTATCACAGATATAGCTGTAAAACAAGTATGTAAATCTTAAACTTTTTAAAGAGAAGCAAAATACGTTGAAATAAGTACGTCATTGCGGTGCTTTGTACCTTGTCAGTATGACGTATGTCACGGTAACGTTGTATCCGAACTGGAATGATATCTCAAATGTTAAAAGTACGGATTTGATACGTCATATATTGTAAATGATCAACTCTCCTCTGAAATGTAACGACACTTCGGTGTACAATCCATCACTACTTGGGTACTAGTGATGTACTCATGAGCACTTAATACTTGTCTGCATAGATTAGACAGGGTGAGAACATCCGTACAAGGAACTCCCTGCTGGTTCCACGGTCGTCTCTGGAAGGACGCAGAATGTACGTCCCAATTGACAGGTTGTAGCGGAACATACGCTGGAGTTCAACTAAGCGTCGTGGCTTTCCCTCAATGTCTCGTATACGTGTGCGATCATTCCCCTGCAATAAAGCGACGTTTGTGACGATGAAATACATTTTAACGCATGTGCTGCACGAACAAGTCCCTAAATACAAACAGTTAATGTAGTTTTCAAGTCAAAAATAAACTGATCAGATTAATAACTTTCACTCTGAAAAACAAGAAGGCAATGATCAGTTACTGAAGCATTAACAAAACGTTGCCTCACTTACGGTTAATACGTCACAGCCGATGTTGCTGAAGTTGTCGTGCCGGGGTTCATCCTGTATGACTTGAACCACTACAGGGACAGTTTCTTCCGGTGTGAGATCGGACAGTATATAACGTTCAGGGTCAGAGAAACAGTTACCCACCTAGATTATCTAACCATTATTTCAACATCACATATAGCCAGCGGATAAGTGATCAAATTTATTGCACTTTGTGTTACAAGCATGAAACTTGGCATGATTGTAGCTTATACCATTCTAACTGAATAAAGATCGAGGAGGCCTCGCAGATTTTTTTATATTTTCCATAATTTTGGGGAAAAAGTGAAAAAATATAATTGTTTATACTATTTTCGTTATAACCTTTTACAAAATTCTCCAATTCTCATAAGACATATATCAAATTGTCGGAAATCCATAGCTGGTCATTTTCCATCTATACATGTCTTTTTATCTTTAACGGTTAGGTCTACGGAAGTCAATTTATATCATGACTGCCCGAAAATGCGAAAATTGGTGGCCATTTTGCCAAAATGGCCGCCAATTTTCACACACCAATTGCAAAATGGCCGCCATATAGAGAGTACATCAGTAAAATAGAAGTATGAGATCATCCCATGATCTAAAATATTTTATCATTTCTTTGCAAATTCAATACGAGAAGCCTCACAGATTGTTGTAATTTTATATATTTGGGGAAAAAGTGGGGAAAAATTGAATTTTCCAAAAATGTTCCTTTAACTCAATTTTAAATCCTCATAAATTATCTTACTAGAATATTGTGAGAACAGACCAAAGTTTATTTTAAGGAATATATCATTAGATTTACTTACATGTATAATGTATGAGCTTGATTGGCTATAGAACACCTATAAAACATATCAAAATCAAGACAACATCAATGTCAAAGAAGGTATCTCATCACTCTATGGAATGTGTAATTGTATCTAGCTTGACTGAATGAGAAAAGTGCATAGCACTTGAGAGATGCTTTAACGCACTTGGACCGGTTTGAACATTTTATACACATGCATTTCAGCAATTCCCGGCAGCTCTTTCATGCCTTCGTGAGAGTTGTCCATAGTTACTAGTATGTTGGATCAAAGTTGATTCTGTTGGGGGAATGATTCTGTTGGGGGAATATTGTCCAGTGTTCTCCCCTTTGTGGCAGTAAACAAATGTTTTCTTGCTCATTCACTTTCATGAGGTTGCTTGCACTGTCATACAGCAGTACAACAACTCTCTCATGCTGATTAATTTTGTGCATTAGGATTTCAAGTGGTGGACAAGCGAGGGAAATAAAGGTGCCTGTAAGTTCAGGAAAAGTATTCCATGTATTCCGCGAGGCCTTCTTTTCAATTCCACCTAAGGATGACATACTGTCATGGCCTGTGAAGCTGTGAAACACTGAGAATGCTTGATGCAGCAATGGCCAACACAACCACATCTGTGTCAACAATACGGATGTAGAACTTCTTCCATGAAGACAAGATATACACAGACGAGTCAAGGGATGGAAACCTGGATGAGTTTGTCAGACATATAAAATCAGTCTTGCTACCCAACTATATCTCATCAAGGTTCTCTACGTCCATGCGCAAAATCAGTTCTTCTCAATTGCTTTGAAGAAAATTTCACCACCAACTGACTCAACACCAAATGTTGACGCATCAATCCTTGATGGATCTGCAGTAATAAACATGCTAAAACCAGCAGCTCCAATAGCATTTGATGAATACTAGTATGCTGATAATGTGTTCTTGAAGTACTTGCAGTCTCTTCTGGACACTAATCAGAGAGTGGATATTGTCTGAGACGAATACAAAATGGACAGCGTAAAATCCAGTGTAAGAACAAAAGAGGAAGTGGAAAAAGACGACGAGTGGAAGCCAGTTCTGAGGAACTGGCAAGAATTCCCGAGGTGTGATACCAGCAAGAAATATCTTTTTGCTTTCCTTGTACAGAAAATAGCCTTGATAGAATCAAGCAAGTCATCAGCCCTATTGGCGAATATGTGGTGTCCAATCAACCAAAAGACCTTTTGGAATTGGCACCCTGTAACTATGAAGAGATAAAAAGATAAAAGAAAGTTGCTTCACTGATGCTTCACATAAAGGTTGGAAGAAGTAGATCCCTTCCAATGTTTCACAGCTTCACATTCTGTGACATTGTGTCATCCTTTGATATGAAAAGACCTCGTGGAATGCATGGATTGCTTTTCCTGAACTTACAGGCACCTCTATTTCCCTCACCTGTCCACCACTTGAAATCACTAATCACTAATGCTGATTCATCAGCTTGAGAGATTTGTTGTACTGCTGTATGACAGAGCAAGCAACCTCATGAAAGTGAATGAAGCAAGAAAGCATTTGTTCACCACGATGAGGAGAACTTTGGACAATATTCCCCCAACAGAATAAGCTTTGATCCAACATATAAAGAGAGCTGTAAATCAGGGGAGTTATGTTTCAGAGCAATCCCTGATGAAATCACAGGAGTTACCAAGCCCTCTGTATAGGGTTGGCAATAACTCTAGGGGAGAGCTTGGGCCTGTATGGACAACTCTTCTATTGGCATGAAAGGGCTGCCAGGAATTGCTGAAATGCATGTGTATAAAATGTTCAAACTGGTCCAAGTGTTTAAAAGCAGCTCTTAAGTGCACTGCACTTTTCTGATCCAGTCAAGCTAGATACAATTACACATGATTGAGTAACCTTCCATAGATTAATGAGATAGCTACTTTGACATTGATGTTGAAATGAAATATGTTTGCGTTGATTTTGATAAGTTTTCATAGGTGATCTATAGCCAATCAAGCTCATACATTATAAATGTAAGTAAATCTAATGATATATTCCTTAAAATAAACTTTGGTCTGTTCTCACAATATTCTAGTAAGATAATTTATGAGGATTTAAAATTGAGTTAAAGGAACATTTTTTGGAAAATTCAATTTTTTCCCCACTTTTTCCCCCCAAATATATAAAATTACAACAATCTGTGAGGCTTCTCGTATTGAATTTGCAA